ATAGTGCACACTGTGCAGTGGTCTGACTGACGCTAGCTGCTGTCAATAATACCTGTAACATGACTGATCAGAACATGTGTGAGGTGTTTTTATTACCATGGCTCGTCACTCATGAGCTGCTTTTATGTGTCATTTTGAGCCCCTATGTGCATCTGTGTATGAGACTAAAGACTGTTTGTCTAGTCAGTCCGACAACTGACCCCCTGGCAAATTTGTATAAGAAAACAAATTGCAAACAAATGTTAAATGAGCCAAATACCACATGGAATGCAGTTAAATACCTGGTTCACAGTCTGGCCAAAGCATGAACATATGATGTGGCCTATGATTGTTATTTTATCATATTTTTTCTGTACCTCTCAGCAGCATACAGCAATAATTCCTAGTGATATAATGAATGAATAAGAATAAGCAGCAAAAATGGATAATGGACAAGCCAATTAAACATTATTTTTGAATTTTTGAATGCTTAGCTCCTGTACTAGCAGCAGCAGTGGCAGCGTTTGCTACAGATCTGATGGTGATTGAAACTCCACAAAAAGGAACAGCTGCCTGCACCGCGATCCACTGTCACAACAATCCTCCCTTTAGTTTATAAGTTAACATCCCCCACCACAATAGGGTGAAATGCACAGCATACATATACATAATGACAACCCTCAGTGCAGTAACTTGTAAATATACCTTTGTATATATCTATTTGAAAAGCTCCATCTAGTGTGTATAAATATTTCTATATTTATAAGTACTTTATTTTTTTATTTTTCTAAATCTCATTCCTTTTTCTTGGTTGCACATTCTTTTTCATTTCTTGTTCTCTCAGTTGTATCTTGCTCACTTGTTTGCTCGTTGACTTACAGAAGAACGGTGTACATGCACACTGGTAGTCATTTTACCTGAGTCAAATTCCTCATGTGTTCAACACATGGCCAGTAACATTGATTCTGATTCTGATAACCCATCCCCACAGTACAGCCTATTTGCATCCACTCCTAACATGTACAGAGCGCATGTAACCGATACACTTCGTGAGTGTGCTCAGAGCTGTAGCAGCAACGTGCCACCACTTCCTGTGGATTAGAGTCTGAAGCAGACCAGCTGTAGACAGAAGATGAAGGTCCCAGTCGCCTGCCTTGTGAGGAGCCTTAACATCTGATAAGACCACAGCCATCTAATCCCTACCTACACCCACACCACCACCATCATGCCTGTGGAGAAAAAAAGCTTTACGTCAATGCCCAACCGCAGATTGATGAAGCGGCCCACAAGGCCTCAGGCTCCACCACATTAACCTGGCTGGGAGGTTTGATAAGCAGGCTAACTTCATTACACCAAACCTATACAATTTCAATCAATTGGAAAGAATTTTATCATTGGGATTGTCAAATTTAAGAGACATGTATTTTTGTTTCTAAAAGTACTAAAAGATATCAGTCTGGGAAACAAAACATGACAGCTTGTATGCAAAAACACTGCAAAGCCCCAAACAGTGGTTTAAAGAGTGGTAATAAAATATAATATGACTAATATCACCTAAAAGTCCTGTCTCATTGCTAAAGCCCTGCTCAATGTTGACATGTGGTCTTTCTCAAGTGTGAGTTCAGAAAGATAGCTGTTCATTAGAGTATTTTGATTAGAGACCAACTCATGAATTACTGTGTAGACAGTCCTATCTGAAAGTGTTACATTAATTATTATTACATCAAAGTTGACTATTGAAAAGCACTGAGAGCAAACAGTGGGTAGAGCAGTCGTCTCCCAACCGAAGGGTTGGATGTTCAAATGTATGTGTGACATACTTGGCCAAATAAAGGTTATTATACTGATTAACACATCTGTATTCATTCATATCTATCTATCTATCTGGCTATGAAAAATGTAGAAAATGAACGTCTCTGAGCAGTGTACTGATTGCCCTCCTTATCTTAGATTGCAGGTGTCTGATTCTGATTTGATGAAAAACAGGAGCTGTTGCCACATGTTTGCCATAATCACAATTTAAATCTAACTCTTTAATCCACAGATATGACATCAAGCTAATGCCAAGTGTTTGGCTAAATAAGTCTAGTAAGTAAACACAGACACAGTGAACACATTGTATAGTTTCTGTTTATTTAACAAGATCTGTCGAATGCCAATGTTTTTCATGCCCTTAGTTTACTTCAGCATTACATTAATGCCTGTATGGTCATGTAGTAGTTCATGAACCATTACTGAAATAATTCATACATTTAGAGGCATTGCTCCCTCACACTTAGAATGAAAAACACTTTGTGCACAAGTAATGGAAAAGATAGATACAGAGGATGATCATCACCAGGGTTTGCAAATTCAACTGAGGTGTCAATTTTTGAAAACTGAAAGTAAGGATAAGAAATTTTTGCTGGACATATTTTAAAAAGAACCAATAAAATAACAAATAGAAATTAGTAGGCAGCATCATTATTTACCCAGTAATGAGCAAATACACAGTGGTGGAAGAAGTACTCAGATTCTTTACTTAAGTAAAAATAATAAGACCATATTATAAAAATACAAAAAGAAAATTACAAGTAAAAGTCCTGCATTCAAAATGTTACTTAAATAAAAGTAAAAAAGTATTAGCATCAAAGTATACTTCAAGTGCCAAAAGTAAAAGTAGTCATTATGCAGAATGGCACATTTCACAATCATGTATATTATATTACTGAATTATAATTATTGATGCATTAATGTGCTGATCACTTTAATGTTGCAACTGGTAAAGCTGGTGCTAATGTTAACTACCTTGAAGTATGTAACATGCTGCTGGGTAGTTTGTGAATTTCTCACTGGGAATAAATAAAAATGATAAAAACAATAAAGTCTTATGATTATACTGTATTTTTTTTAGTTAATCTTGAAAGTGACTAAAGTCATAAAATGAATGTAGTCGAATAAAAAGTACAGTACTTGCCTCTGAAATGTAGTGAAGTTGACGTATGAAATAGCAGAAAAGGAAAATACGCAGGTAAAGTACAGATGCTTCAAAACTGTACTCAAGAACAGTACTTGATAAAATGTTCTTACTTACTTTTCATCACTGCAAATACAATGAAAAGTTATGAAAAGTATAAGTATGCAAAATACAAATGAGAAAGCAACATTCATTTATCATTAGTTATTATTTATCAATTAACCATTAAAATGAGCCGCAATGAACTTAGCAAGATTAGTTAACTCACTGATGTTTGCAGTGTTGAATACATTTCAAGATGTTCAACAGTCCTTAATACCGGTCCCAGTCCTGGAGCATAGCCACATACATATCTCTTGTTTGTAGTTGGTAGGTTTTGAATATTACACTGACTGTACATTTAGACAAAGTAGTTCCGTATACAGGGCTAAAATCAGCATCGGTCTTACAGTAAAGGGACATTCCACTGATTTACACATGAACAAGTACTCCTCAGCCTGTTTTATTGGTTTCTAAAGCTTGAAAAGATAACTCAGCGTGGGCTTGAAGAATTTTTAACTGCAAGCTTAAGCTGATGGTGTTGAGAAGAGGTGGCCAAAATAAATATGAAACTGAGATATATTAGTGGTAATACTGGAGATAATCCAGTTTGTTCCATCCATCTAAGAGCTAGTGATCTTGCTGTGCATATGCACATATATGTGCCTCTAACCAGCCATCCTGTTTGCTGTTATCTATGTTCACTCCAGCCCCCCGCCATCACACCTTCATTACTGCCCCAGATAGTGGCATTGGCAACTTGTCACTTGTATTGATTTCTCTTAAACTGCAATTTACATGGATATTTGTGGGCGTCCTGAGGGCAGGCTGCAGCCTGGCGGGCGGCTCCGGCACCCTCGGTTTCCTCCCTCCCCTATGTTTCTCTGCCCCCTTGGGCTGGGAGGAAATGTTTCCACCTGACAACAGAGCCTCAGAATGACTTTTCAATCTGTCATCAGCAAATGTGTTGTGGAGTTTTTCTTTTCTTCAAATGTACTTTTTTTTAACATCAAAACTAAAATGGGTGGGAACTGCTGAGGGTAAAGGGGATGATTTTATATAAAATAACAGCGTTTACAGGAATAGATGACACTTTTTAGATATCATTCAATAACTGCTCTTACAAAAATTAGTACAATAAAACAGCTAAGGAACTAGAGAATACACAGTAAGGCCTTAACAGTTCTGCATTGTTTTCACTCTGCTGGCCATGAATGTGTCCGGCAGTACCATAGCGCCTCTACCCAACACACACCTGACCTTCCACTGTAGAGGCCGGGGGAATAAAACAATAACCTCCAGCTAGAAAAGCCACAAATGCTTTCTGAAAACTTAGACACTGCGCTTTCACACAAAAATGCCAAAATGTCACATCCTTCAAACTTTGTGCCTGCAGCACACTGTCAAGAGTTTTTCTTTTCCTTCCTGTGCTGAAGGTCGTCTGCAACCTACAAACAGTGTTTCTACAATAAAAGAAAGCAGATTTGGTTTTTCAATAAGGAGGATGTAATTATTAAACTGGAAAACTGCACAGAATTTGACTGGAGCAGTATCTCAAAGGTGCGTTTGATGCGTTTAAATGTGTGGAGAAGCCAGTTAATTGAACATTATGCATCTTAGCACATAATCTTCCTTTGTGGAGTTGTCAGTGATTTTGGAAAAGAGTGGGAATAACAGACCATTTACTTCACATCCCTAATCCTGCAAGAAAATGATAAATCCCAAACTCCATTAGACAAAATGTAGTGTACAAGGAGAAAAAGTTGTGTTTTGCACGTTTTCCCTTCTTCTGTTCCTAAAATATCACATCATTTTAGCCTGAAGTTGCTGTGAGTTTACAGTAAGGTGGCAGAAAGAGAGAAACTGTGCCAACAGGAGAAACTCATACTCAGTCCGCTGGTAAACATCCCAACTGCTGAAGAGCCCCTAAGCAAGTATCACACCCGACCTCTGTAGAAAAACGCTTGTAGAAAAAAGGAGTGAGGAATAAATTTTAAAAAGAAAAAGTAACAAACACAGAAAAGCAGCAGGTGAGTAAGGGGTGTGAGATGGTGGGTGTCGCCGGTGATGTCACACCTCCCAGACAGCCAGGATTGGACCTTAATTAGAAAGCAGATAGATAGGCGTCCGCAATGATAGAATTCAAAGTGGTTGATGCCAAAATTTCTGCAGAGGAGCAGGAAATTGTGGGAGTAAAGCGGAGTAGACAGAAGCGTATCAGTGGTGCTGAGAACTGCCACGCTGCGCTGCAAACAGTCTCTCCGTGAGCTGAAGGCAAGCTGGAGTTTCAGAGGTGATATAGGAACAGCAAGACGCGCTCCCCGCCGGTTTGGCGGGATAAAAAAAGGAGAGAGAGTCGAAAATATAGTCTACGTCAAACCCCAGGACGCTACGTTATCAGAAAGCAACGGAGGTTGAAGCGAGACAAGTACAAAGGAGAGTCGCACCGTCGAGTTCAAGTTGTTCCTGCGCTTCGCTCCAAAGGCTGCGCTGATGGCATCCGTACTTGGAAACAACAGCCGCGCGTCCGGGGCTCAGAGCGGACAGGTCAAATGCAAGCTGAGAAGGAGGAGAAGGAGACGATCGAAGAGAAAAGGTACAACTTCAGCCTATAACACTTGTATTTTTTCTCCAGAGTGAGCAGAGGTCGTGCGCACCTTGGCGGGGCATCGGGGCGCACAAAGCCCCCTCGATCGAAAGCTGCTTCACCTTCACTCCGCGGCCGCTTTAACTCGTAAATTTTAAAATATTGACCACATTTAACGTACAAAAATGTTACCCCTTTGTGAATAAATAGTAATAACCCGTACTTTCAGCCTTAAATGACGCATTATCTCGTGCTTGTAAAGCTCAAGTTGCCTCTGCGTATATTGTCCTTAAAATGTCTTAACTGACTCTAACGAAATTAAACTACTGTTTTGTATTAATAGCCTAAATAAACCTGGGATTGTGAGACAAGCGGCATGTCTAGCATTTAATATTAGATTTTTGATGACAAGCAAAAGGACGCGACGGGGTCAATGGATCCTATTTAACTTCCTCCAAAGCAGTTTTCCTGCATAATCACTTACCGGTCTTGATAAGTTTCTATTAATGAATTGAGACAATTCATTTTATAGGTTAAGGTGTAAACCAAATCATTCACTGTAACAGAACTGTGAGATTTTTGAGAGAAATCCCTCAAATTTTTAAACTTAATATCAGTGATAATCTATTTTAGCAACATCCTGAAATGCAGTCGTGAGATTCCTAAAAGTTTCCCAGAGCTTCTTTCTTTTCTTGATGTGCATGTAAAATATTTTCCCTCATTAGAGGCTTAAACTCCAGTGAACTGCTGCGCTCAGTTAAACTACTACATCTACTCAACACTAACAAAGTTTTAAGTTTGAGAAACACTTCTGGGCCTGTGAACAGGGAGAGAAAGAAGAAAGAAAATATCATTAGTTGTTTGACACACCAGAATAATAATTAATTTTGTGCAGTGGTGTGTATTTGTAATTGTATTCTTAAAGAGTAGACCTGTGAGTGGTAGTTAAAGAGTAGACAGTGTGTTAACACTGGCATGCTGTAAAACACTCAGTGATAACCGTAATGGGAAAGCAGGCTGATTTTCAGGTACTATAACAGAACAACAGTGACATTTCACTTTGTCACTCTGTTCAGGTACCTGTACTCTAATAGATGCTGACCCGGGCTCATGGTAAACAAATCCCCTGTGTGGTTTAATGCCCTGCAACCTACAGTCCCCCAGCCATTAACATTCATTATGCCATTTATTCCGTGCATTTGCTGAAAACAACAACAATAACAAAACACAGGACTTTGATAGCACCTTTCCATCTCACCACCTCTCACTGTGTTGTGTCTTCTTTATTTTAAAATAGCTACAATTTACTACAGTGTTGTTCACTGTTGAAATTAATCAAATATTACTGACAAATTTTATGCCAAATTATTTAATGTTGCACTGCACAGTGAAAAATGTGCAATGTGTATTGAGATGTCATTTAAAGCTTAACTGAGAGATCCTCCCTGATTTCATTTCCTTGATTATTTCCTGAGGTATTTTGGCTAATTAAGAAGCACCCAGGTACTTATTTGTACTGGCAAAACCCTCCATATAAAGCAGGGAAGATCCAAATAAAAGAGCAATTTTTTTCATTATTTTTTATTAATTTATATGTGCAACATATGATGACACGACTCTTTATGTTGTTTATGCTTGTAGATATTGACATGCCACCCCGCTGCATTGTGGAATATGCATGAATGCTCGGAGCGTGCAGACATATTTGACTGCAACTGAATGCATAACAAGCTTTCATAAACACTTTGCACTTGTCATCAAACTACAAACAGACAACTGCACCTCATTTCCATATACTCTTGATTTTTAATAGCCCAAGTAATTGAGACAAGGGAGACAATACATAAAACATAGTGCTGAGGCAAATGTATTTACATAATGGAAACAACAGAATTGGTTCCACAACATTAAGCATTGCATATGAGTATCGTACAAACTTGCGCACATTAGCTGACAGGCCTTCGCAGCGTGTTTCCAAATGGCCAATTTATCAGCACTGCTGATTCATTCTGATAACACGGGACATTAGGGGCCAGTTCAGGAGACTGGTTGTAAATGAACTGTGCCTTTGGGATGTGCCGATGGCTGCAGACTCCTGCAGCGCTGCAGGAGGAATGCTCCCAGTGCTCCAGCTGAAACATTTGGTCAGATCAGTACTTTCTGTCCAATTGTTATTCTAGGGGGTTTTTTTTGGAGCATAATCTGTAAATGTTTTTTCAAACCTTCAAAATAAGAGCACAATGTATGATTGCAGGATTTACTCAAAGCTGTACTGAACCTTTTTTAATTATTATCCTTCATCTCAAATGTCATTAACTTGAGATTTTACACAGATATTATCGTAGATCTTAAGGCAAAAAGTCACAGAGGGATTACTGCATTAGATTTGGGGCTTAATCCATTGGAAAGGCTGCAGATTATTTGCAGATGGACTCACTAAAACCTGTGTTTAAACATGTGTACTTTCAAAAGGTTGTAAACAGATTCCTCACTACACCTTTTTACCCCCACCAAACTTTTCTTCACGTTTGTATGGCTGGAGCGTGCAAAACAAATATAGAATGAAGATTACAGGTCAGATTTATTTTCTAAAATCTCATGTTGCCCTTTCTACACAGAATTCCTAGAAATCACTTATCAAGTCTTTTGCTCTCTGTAATTCTTCAGGCACTGTTTGCCACATGTTGCCTCCTTGTATTGTTCAGGCTACAATGCCCCTGTCAGCCCGCATTGTGTGGGTGCACATCTCATTGTGTGGGTGCACATCTCATTGTGCACCTGCATTTGTTTACTCTACCCTTAGCACAGTGTTTGACCAGCGTCATCACTCCTAGAAGGATTCACGGTTATAGAGTGTATCTGCCTCTTAATTAATCACAGCTTTGTGATATACAGTTATGTCCCTAAAGTGTTGTTTGTGCTACAAATAAAGTTCTTTTGGAGGTGTGTGACTGTCCAGTGATGTACAGAAATATCTGGTTGAATACAGCACATGCAAGGTTTTTTGCTGATGCCGCTGCCTGTAAAATCATACCTGTCAGTCACTAATATGACATGGCCTTTTTCCCATCACTTAACTGTGGCATATATAATATATTCCTTGTCTTTTATATACACCATGTTTTAATCAAAAATAAGCACTGCAGAGATTTAAAGAGCAACATTATTTTTACAGCCACATTTATCACTCTATTGGCAAACAGTACAGTATATCAGCGTATCATGAAGAGCGCAGAGGGGAAACCGTAAAATACACAGTGTAACATACTTTATGTAGCAATTACCATTTACACTCTCATTCCAAGCCAGGTCACGGCAGAGGATCAAGTGTGGGCTACCGGGGTGGTGATGAAAGCTGAGGCCGAGGCAAGAGGTGGTGGTGGGGAGGGGGACATGTAAGGCAGAGCAGAGGATGAGGGTCGTTGCCTTTTTGCATCCGAGGCCGCGGTCTAGAGAGGCAAGGGGTCACCTGAGGAGACATTACTGGGGCGGACACATTAATCAGCCCCTGATGCTCTTCTAGAAGTGATCTGACGTACAAGACATGTACACAGAGGAGAGGAGAGTGAGAGGAAACTGTAGCTATACGCTGTCATCTGCTTCCCTCTTAGCACTGATACACACTGTCCTGAGGAGAGAGCAAATGTCAGGAGGGAGAGCAGAGGCTGAGGGACACAGAACCTCCCTTTTTTACAGTCCAACTTCTGTATTGGCTTTATCATCCAGGTATGTTTGCCCACGTTGCTGCACCTAACACAAGTTCTCATTAATTGTCTATAAAACCTTGAATCTCCAAAATAACCGTATTGTAATGTATTTAAGAACTACTAAAACTACCATTGTTTTACTGTGATGATGGTGCACTTTGGACACTATAGTATCCGGTATGAGAGCACGCTTTCAGCCTTTAATGCAACGTGAAATGTAAAGTTGTCACTGTCGTCATAAGCAGTGTTATTTGAATATACAAATATACTATACACAAAATATCATCATATATCTTATTAGTTTCATCTAATTACCACTCGACTTACTGTAACTAGTCTGCCCTCGGTGCTATAGGTGTAATAGTAAAATAAAATAAAATAAAAAGCTGTCGAAAAAGAGAAGGGGAAGGATACATCACAATGGTTTCCAGCGGTTACACAGTGTCTGTCACACAATGCGAACAATCATTCACTCTCTTTCTGTTTCCTTTGTTGAATTGTACTGATTTAAAACTCCCTAGCAGGAGTCTCTTGGTAAATTCCAAGTGCTCTTTGACTTTCAGTTTTATCAGATACATCTTTGTAGCTGTGCTTGAAATGGTTGGTTCAGTTCTTTTTCATGCAGCATATACAGTACATCTTTTGTCTAGCCACTGAAACTTCATTTAAACTAAAACTGCAGCTGTGAGCAATGTTCCGTAGTTTGATTCCTACCAGGGACATAGGTATGCACGTCACTCTCCCCCATTCCTGTTTGCCATTCCTGCCTGTCCAATAAATGAAGAAAATGCCAAAAATAATTTTCAAAAAACTGAAGCTACACACTTTATATATAAAGCTGCATCTGAATTGCAAAGAAAAAATAAATGCACAATCAAAGACTAGGTCTTAGTAAAGGTGTTTCTTAGAGCCTGACTGACTGATTCTACTACACTGAGATCTCATAAAAATAGTTATACCCAAGTTGGTAATGGTACCAACAGTTTAAAAATGTAGCGACAGCAGTGGAGTGCAGTGGTTCATTGTGGGGAACTTTTGCGGATCAGATGAAAATGTTTTTTTTGTGTCAGATTTTTGCTTTATTCACACTCAGCTAACCTGTTTAGTAATGTCGGTGTCTTGTCTTTGTTTGGATTTGTCGCTGATGCATATGCATTGTAATGATACGGCACATTCTCTGCAATGGCCTACATTTACATTCAAAATCCACTCATAAATAAAATCCCAGTGCAGTGAGACACAGACAGACAGAGAACTGAAATGAATGCATTTCTTGCTCGGCCTTACAAATTGTTCGTGCCT